TTAATTCGTTTTCTCTGATGCAAACTGCTGTTCAGCACCGTTAATTTTAAGCAGAGCTGTATTGCTTATTGATCGATCGGTGCATGCGTTCTGTTTACATCTTACTTGCGCGAGATAAAAGGGACACTGAATTCAACCCTTGTGATTAGCTTATAAGGGATTTCAGAGAAGGGGGAGGGACTGTTCTTTATATTCACATATAAGTCTGCTGTTCATATGCTTCGAGGTTACTTGCCAATAATCGAGTTTTTCCTTTTAGCAACCCCTCCCTCCAAGTACAATTTACTTACAAAGAGGGTGCAATTTTTTTAATATTGTAGTATTAAGACTCATAGTAGGTCGCCTTTCTTTCTCTTGAACTACCACCAGGAGGGGGTTGGTTCATAGGTCCGGGTATAAAATGAAATTCTGTGCACGAGCAGACCAAAAGGGGAAAATGAAAGACGACGGAGTGAGGAAGAAAAGGGTCGGAAAAGTAGCAGGATCCTAGGTCAGTGATGCTAAAGTGATTTCCTCTCTAGTAGGATTCTGTTATAACTAAGGCTTAAGCACAGATTTATCCTCAGTCCCTTAGCCCCACTAAACGCCAGTTCCATCCAGCCAAGTGTTTTCAAAGCAATAAACTACTCTCTTCTCATTCTTGATGTGAGAGCCGACTTTTCTCAGGTTTGGAGAAAGATGCCTTTGTGCTTTTCACATACCTTACGCGTTCTCAGGTTGGTTCAGGTGGATTGAGGCACTGACCTACACGAACAAAGGCTGGTGACGTAGAGAGTGACAGATATAAATGGCGTCTGCTTCACCCTTCAAGTAACTTATTACTTTATGCACCAACTCTCTGGCGTTCCTGTGTAGAACCTGGCGCCTGAGATGTACGCCATCCATAATTTTAATACATTAGTTGTTATCTAAAGCTGAATGCCACCAGTTTGCTTCACTTAAACACGATATTTATGTAATAACCATAACGCAACATTCACACTTAACACAAATAGCACTACTGTGTGAGCAAGCGTACAGCAAGTGACTGAAGCTGATTGGTTCACGAGGTCACGTGACAGTAGATGCGCAGAAGCGACCAAAACTCGGCCGCCATCTTTCGTGTCGCAGAGTTTAGTAACAGCTGCAGCCTCATAGTCTGCTCAGTGGAAGACAGAACAGGCACCAAACATCTTTCGCCTACGAATCTGAACTCCCTGATCCTCTCGTTAACATTGAGGACAGGTGCAGTGTTCAACCTGGAATGTTTTTGCCCCGAACGCGTGATCTTTCCTAGGTACGCCACAGTTAACATTTGAAGACGACTTGTAGCCTCTTTAAGCTTTGTTTCATTAGATGATAAATTTGCGTCATATTGTGATAAATATCAGTCTAATCCTATTAAATATTAAAATATTACCATAATTAACATTTAAATATTTAAAATATATTATATCATGTTCTCTATCGAAATGTTCGATTTACATTAGATCATCACTTTTTACACGACATGTTTCAGTTCTAAAAGAACCATCTTCAGGTGTATAAAATTATATAAACTTAAATATAATTTCTTAAATGCAACTTTTTAGTCAGATGTTTATCAGATTTCAAATGATGTTTTCTTCAAGATTTTATTGTATTTTAATATCGTATTCGAAATTGTTCTGTATATGTGCGTCGTGCTTAACATGGTTTTATGTGGGTGAACGTTTTGTTGTTGTTTTTTGTATCATTCAGAAATGAAGTTGTGGAGGAGTTGCGTCCGTCTGGAAGTATTGCCGAGTTTGTGTTTGTTTCATTGTTTGCGGTCACTTGAAACATCCATGAAATGTGGAAGTTTTGACCGGTGACACTCTTGTTTTGTGTACAATATGTATCTGTTTGGAACTTTGTTCACTACCGAAACGCGACATTCATTTCTTTATTTTAAATAAATATCAAGACCAAAGAACGTATTTGGAAAATGTTAGTAACGACATACTAAATCAGAATACACAGATAATTTTTTTTGTATAATTTTACTATGTTGTATTTTATGACGTGCATGTGATAGGTGAACAATTCGCATAGAATTTGTCTCAAAGCCTGATGGAATGAGACAACTTTAGAGACGTGGAGGTAGATAGGAAGATAATATTCAAATCGATCTTGGAAAGCTCGAGCTTTTGATGAAGTGTGTTGGATACATACGGCTCAGGATAAGATCCAATGGTGGACTCTGTGAAGACGATAATGAATGTTCGGGTTTAAAAAAGACAAGAAATGTCTTGTCAAGAAGAACTGTGGTCCGTGTACTTGTATTGTTAGTATTAAGGAGAAGTTAAACTTTTCTTTTTTCATTTTTGTTGTGATGAGGAGAGAGACTCTGTGTTCTCACTGTGCTTTTATAAAGTTCCAAAGGGCAGAAGAACGTTTTTGTCGTTCAGACTGTCTGCGTCTACGAATGAAAATGTTCACTGTGGTTTGCCATGCAAACAGATGTAAGTGGAACAAAGCGAAGTCGAAGGGCCATGTTGGTACTCAGTGTTAGCTTCCCACTGCTGCACCCTTGGGTGGGGAGGGTGGAGGGTCATATCACAGCATCAAACACACGAACTTCCGACATCCCTTTGCCAGATCGATACTCCCTCCATCACTCATCCAGCCAGCAGCATTCAGGCAACAAAAGACTTCTGGGTAGTCATCACCGCAGACTGCACCCACGAGAGAAACAAAGGAACATTGATTTTACAAGTTTTCTTGCGTCCGTTCTCTTTAAGATTAAACTTGTATGGATTCAAGCAACCGACAAGCGGTTTCTTTCTTTTGGCGACGTCTTCTGTCTCCTTTGATAACGCACTGTTCGCTACAAAACGAGAGATGATACGCACGATTTGCATGAGGTCAGATGGATAAATGATCCATACATGTCTGATACGCAGGGATTAAATATGAACTGCGAGTTCTGTACAGCAGTGTTTATCAAACTGTGGTCCTCGTCCCGCACTGTCGCAAAATCTCTCTCGCTGTTCCACTGAGAATAGACGAGTATAATAATGTTTGTTACAACAGAAGGGATCTAGATTGTTTTAAGCTTGTCAAATGACACAGATTATTAGAAAGAATTTTAACGTAGAAAACATCAGGTCTGCTAGCGTATAAATTTAATTTTGCTACATTACTATTGTTACTGAGATTTTTTGTTTTTCTCGGTCCATTGAAAATCATTTAACACCAAATATGTAAAATTATAATAAATCAGTAATTATAGGAACCTGCTTAATAGTACGTTTATTTAACAACAGTATCACGTAATAGTGAATATAATTTAATTTATACACAATTAGATTATTTTACGTCAGTACAGTTATTGTACATATGTAAATTTGTAAACATTTATTGTAAGACACTGACTGCCAAAAAAAGTAGCGTAATGTTTTAAAATTTTCATGTAAATAGGACAGTAGAACTTTTGAAAGGATGACGCAATCATATTGATCGCATTTCATTGACGAAGAAAGGCTTTTCGAGTTCTGTAGAGCCTGAACTTAAGGACAGCTGAGGTCGATAGGCACAACTTCTTAGCAGACTTACGGGAAAGACTTTACGTGAAACATAAACAGAATGCTTATTCAAGATGGACTGTTTTATGTCACAAATTGAGCGACTTTTGAGTTAAAAAGGAATTACAGATTAATATTTAGAGTAGTTTAGGAAAATGTATATAGATGATAATATAAAAATATGTGGGAATATAATATCCAACAAAACTAAATGTGATTTTGTAAAAGGCTCCAATACTTTCCCACCGAAGGCGATATAATTATGTTACCATGCTCCTACCATACTCAAACTGCCGTACGAACGTTCTTACCAGCTCTGTATTTATCAAACCAGAAATTCAGTCTCACTACACAAATCAGAACCTTACGTGTAATGTAACCAGAAATTCGTTTTCAAAATTTATCACAGATAATAATGATAGACTTCAACTAAGTCCCTTGTTATCCACAAATTCATTTCTGCTCCGTGAGTCTGTTGGAATCCGTCAAACAGAACCGATCTGAATAGACGATGTTCCCCCTTCTCCCCTACTTCATTCTATTACGTAGGATTCTCATTTCCTGCGCCGTGACAGTACATGGTTGGGTGGTTGTTCTGTGCTACACGTGGGTGTTGTTGATACAAATGTTGACAAGTGTTAGGCGAGGCTCTCAGACAAAGGCTCGGCTCGCCTTCCGTACCGTTGGGACACAAATACCACGTGTGTTGTCATGCATGTAATACAGAACGTTTATCACACGTGAGAGACACGTGTTGATGTATTACAATTTTACACGTCGGTTCTGTTGGATTGAAGTTTGAAAGTTCTAAATTTTTCCTTGAGTTTAAATTCGTAGTAGATGTAGTTGATATTAAATCCGCAAAAACAAAATTGCAACATAAATACGGATGGCTGCCTCCTTGAAAATGTGAAGAATTGGGAAAGACGGAAACAATTCGGAATTACATTCTCCAAGAAATTAAGAACATATTAAATGTGGGTAATTCTTGGTGGCATACAGTTCAGAATCTTTTTTCCTGGACCCTATCTACAAAAATAAAGTTTAAACATACAGAACTAAGATTTATTTAAGTTTTGAGGTTTTCACAGCGGTGGGTATGAAGATTTCTGTCTTCTGGGTTGTTGCGCCTTGTAGTATGGTCGATGCTAACCAACGTTTCAGAGGTCATACTGCCTCCGTCATCAGAGTATGAAGAATTTAATCAGTTGTTTTGTATGTGCGTAATACCGAGCGTCGTAATTTCTACCCTTCCACTAAGGTGATCCAAACAAGGAGAACGAGATGGCATGTGGCACTGTGGAAAAATGACATTTGGAAGATGCACGGTCCATCCAGACCCAATGTTACCACCGATAATGATATTTATGACTTGAACGCTTGAAACTTAAACGTCATACCATGAATTCGTTTTGTAACAAACGTCATTGTAAATGTGTAATCCGCTGTTTGTGACGAAGCTGTTCGTTGTTGCAGAGGGAGGCGCTACAGCGCGATGTGGATCGCGAGAGGCGACTGCGGCTGGACACTGAGGTGCGGCTACGAGACTCCGCGAGTGAGACCGAGCGTTGCCGGGCGAGGCTGGCAAGCCTCCAGCGCGAGTTCGGCAGGTGAGACGCACGGCACAGTTGTTTAACCGCCGCAGCTATTCCACCGCAATGGCTGGTTCGACGGGGTCATGTCGCTCGGACTGCATGTAACAATATATCATCCAAAATATGAAACACATGTTTCAACCATTTGGTTGTCATTACATGGATTATGCGTGCAGAAAAGACGTTATTAAATTGGAGGTACATGCATATTACAACGGAGTTATTGGACTGGATCCATTTATTTCATAAATAAGTGCAACTTAAATACGTGTTATCTGTGGTGACTGTGGTAACGGGAATGTTTGACGAAACGTCGTAACAGCTTCAGCATTGGACGCAGCAAAATTTTAAATGTCGAATTTATATGCTAATCTCTACTCGCGAAAACCTAAGAACAAGAATGTAGGCCTGTCAGTATGTTTGCTCAGATATCTCTAAGGATACTGAATTACAAGCAATAAAAGACCGGATTTGCATCGTGACTTGTAGATCGTCGTTCATCGATGCTAGAAGCCGTATGTGGAAAGGGGGCGGGCATCGTTAAAATCGGACGAAAGATACACAAAGAAAGGGAGAAGCTCCAAATCCCCGGCAATAACATACATATTGATCTCGTGTCGCACGACAATAAAAGCGTGGCCACCTGCGCCTCCCCCCCTTTCAACCCCGTCCTCAATAACTCTCAGCATCGTAACGGCCTAAATGGACGGCCACCCGGACTGCAGCCTTGCGATCGGCTACCTGTTCACCTGAACTGCCTAGGCTTCGTTTTCATTACGTGAGGACTTGCAGAACGAGATTTGAGAACCGCATGTCATATTTAAACTGTGCGAATATACATATTTATTTATTTATTTAGTGTTCTGTCTGACGACAGGTCCATATAAACAGGATCCTTCCATCCTTTTCTCGGACTGGGACCTGTTCATATACGTTCTTGGCAGATGATCCAGAAGTGGTTAGCCATTGCCTTCTTCTGTGTGTGAATGGAGTAATTATTGGGATGCCACGGAGAAACCGAGGAAGCCCCCGGAGGAAAACTCCGTGTTGCCTAGACCACGGCCTTGCCTAACACAAGTTATAAATTCGGGCACCGCCGGGAATCGAACCCGAGACCCCAGGATTACAAGGCCAGCATTCTAACCGCTAGACCACCGCTAGGTAATCGAATATACATAGAAAAACGTTAAACTTGCAGCGAAAGAGACGCACTGCAGAGTTCATATAGAAGAACATAACCACTTGTTCCACTAAAACGTGCAAATGTTTTCCTTTCGTTGCAGTGAAGTTTATTTATTGCAATTGCGTGTGGTTTGTTTCACCATAGTCTGCATATTGTGGCCGGTGTTCAACATTCACGGGAAGTTGATTCATTAACTGCAATTCCCAGAGCCTTCCTTTTCGTAGTGTGTACAGTCAAATTCGTTTCACATTTCTATCTTATTACTCTGATGCAGTTGGACAATCGGACGTCATCTGTTTAATTTCAGACCTGCGGAAATGAACAGTCCTGTTGAAGCCTCATAGTCGCGTCTTATATCGGAGGGCAGTTAAAGAATTTTTGCTATATCGCTCTTTAAAAACAAAATATCCTCTTTTCCCCTGTTCTACGAATTTTTAACACAAATAGAACACACTAAGACTTTCGGACTCTGCCGGCAGTGACCATGCTTGTTTGTGGAATTTTCGAGCGACCATCGACATTCAACGTAACACGAGTTAGTGTACTGGATGTATTTTCAAAGTATAACAAAACTGTAATTTTCAGCAAAATATAAAAGATTTATCTTAACACGGTTACCAAAAGGATTTGAAATCAAACATTAGTCCAGTACCATCATCATATTATTATTCAGCCGCGTGCCTAAAGAATAACCCGCTCTTCATTAGGAGTCAGTATAATAAGAAGTGTCATATTTTGTGGCATTTACGTTGAAATAATTTGCACGTTTTGTACTCCACCTGTTGCTTTCTTATGAGCCTCACTTTTCCTTACCTACTAAAAACATTTATTTAACTTTGCACCTGCAAGAGATTAATTACGACTCTTGAACTATATAATCTGACTTTTAGTTAAATTATTTACATGCACACGGGAACCTGTTTTGGCCGAGTGGTTACACCATTACGTTCTTTGGGAATACCTGGCAATTAAGAAACACGCTTTTGCCTGAGTCCGTCCCTCGGAGTCTGCAGCTGCTCTGAAGACAGGCATTTCCTCACAAGTATCACTATTACAAAGGAAGGGAAAATATTTTACGACTAAATTTCTCGTTTTTGTGTCAGACTTTGCCTCACATAGAGAAGTATGAAGGCGTGTCTACTTCTATCTGTATTAATATCTTACACGTTTATTTTGTGGTTTGTATATAGTAGGGATGGACGACTATTCTGATTCCAGGGCGGGATGAGGCCACTTCGAAGTCACTACATGACGGAGAATTTCGAGAGAATGATTTCTGTTAAAAGTTGTTCAATAATTATAAATTATTTACATTGGCTGAACATTCGTGTACCAAATGGTGGCATAATAATGGTAATATTAACAAACAATTAAAATATTACATCGTAAAATTTTATGGCGACAAGGGGACAAGTTACTTCTGTCCCGACCAGGATATGAGATTCTCTGTTCTGTTCTGGCTGTGAGGCTACCGCTCTCATGCTTATTCAGGATTGGATTCTCGAAGGATGGCTGACTGAGGTTCGCTCGTGCTTTTCGATAGTCCACCCAATTACAACTCCTACAGCGTATTCTACAGTCTACCCAATTACAACTCCTACAGCGTATTCGTTCATTATCTTCCCACTGAAAATTAAGAAAGCCTCGTCAGTCGTAAGTCGGACGCTGCAGCTGTATACGCGAAGCTGAAGTTCGTGTCCCAGCAATTTACTTATAGACGGAAGATGATCTGCTGATTTGAGCTTAGGCATGCCAGGAAATTCACACGAACAAATGAGATGGGACGCAGTTGGTTTACGGCAGTCCATAGAGGAACTCGCCCAGTTTGACGTGTGATAGAATCGAAGATTGCTCATTTCCGATAAATCAGCTGCCACCTATTTTGTCAGTCTGGCCACCATACGCACAGTCAACATTGGTTTGTTTGATGACATTCATTATGCTGATCGAGCGGTCCAGTTGTTAGCACTCCGTGTATGCGGAGAAGTGAATTTGCAGAGCAAATAGTGGAATTTGATCTGTAAAGCAAAAATATTTGGTTTCTGTTCCATTTTAGCTGCATTTACTTATGAAATCACTGCAGTGTTGATACTTATTAAAACGTAATTCTTACAACTCGAGCTTATATAGTCACCAATTAAAATTTTCTCACGACAAATGTGTTTTGAGGAACCCTTAATATGACGGTCTGAAATGTCTGGGCGCACGTTTTACCTCTGAAACTACTAACGGATTTCCATTAAATGTTATATAAATTGTCTGTCGAATTTAAATTTGGTTCTTGTCTCTTTGAAATCTGTTTTACACGAGATGTATATTAAAATTACATAATTGAAAGAACTGGGTTGTGTTATGAATTAATTTTTACATGACTTGAGATACGGACATTATTACTGTCAATAGGCATAACGATTATTTGATTCGGTTTTCGAATTGGCGATTTTTTTTAACGAAATGAATTGAGAACGGTACAGTCCTACATTTCCAATTAGTTCGGTCAAAACCAGACAACTATTTTTCTCCTTGTTACAATATTTTAGCCGCCATTTCTGCCATAAAAGTTCAGCATTTGATGCTTAAGAATAAAGAAACGAAGAAGACTACTTGGGTGGCCCAGACGTAAATGGAAGGACAATATTTGCGTATTTTAAATAAATAGGCGTGCAAGTGGGCTGGATTCATCTGGCTTAGAATAAAGTTCAGTGGTAGGGTCTTCCATACTCGGTAATTAACCTTTGGTGGGGTAATTCTAGACTAAATGGACGATTATTAGATTCTCAAAAAGTGTTCTTCTCTGTGGAGTTAGTTTGCATTGCAGGCGTGATCCTTGGTTACTAAACACTCTGGTCCATCTGAGAGTCCTAACTATAAACCGTAGGATAATATTAAAATACATGTTGGGAAATAAATTGCAAACTTGCTAACCTTACTCCATGTTGAACTGACTCGAGGTGGCGAACGTGTGTGAACACGACAATGGATATTATACCTAAAATGCAGTGAATTTCTTGACGAAGTAGATATCAGTTTCTGAAAG